CCCTCACTTTATTTATCTGAGACAGGATTTGACTCTGTCACCTGGGCTGGAGTGCAGTGGCACAAAACTGAAACATCTGCCTCCCAGGATCAAGCCATCTTCCCACCTCAGCCTCCCAAGTCTCTGGGACTACAGGCATGTACCACCACACCTGGCTAATTTTTATATTTTTTGTAGAGACAGGATTTTGCCATGCAGCCCAAGCTGGCCTCAAACTCCTGAGCTCAAGCAATCCTCCTGCCTCAGCCTCCCAAAGTGCTGGGATTACAGGTGTGGGCCACTGCACCTGGCCTCATTTTTTTATTTTAAAAAACAAAACAAGGAAAATAAAAGAGAGGCCTATTATTTAAGTATTTTTTGGTATGGGGCATGTATTGTTTAGAAGGTTGAAGTGAAACATACCAAAATAAGAAAGAACTGCCAGCTCTCTGGGTGGTCCTCTAGCCTGCTTTGTAGGAAGTTTCATTAACCCTGTTCTCCTCTGAAGTCCAGAGAGACTGTTCCAGGATCCAAAAACTGCTAACCTGTCTCTGACCTGCTATATGATTATTTGCATCACTAAATTCACAGCTAACCGTGCTTTCTTTGTTTCAGTTCATGCAGTTTGAGAGCTGCTTAAAGGTGCTCATAAACAGACTCATACTCTGGAAATTACAGCTGTGCACGAAAGCTGGAGAAACCATAAATGCCCACTGATAATGAAATTAGCTGGACCAATGTGCTAGTCCAGCTTTGTCTGTCAGTGTCACAAGTGAACAAAATAACCAGCTCACAGACATTCTTCCTAATACCACATATTCCATAAGACATTTAAAGACTTTAATAAATGGAATTATATCAAAGGCCTGCCGACTCTGCTACTGTCCTTCCTAAGTAGTCATCTGGACTGCCCCTGAAACTAAGACCATCAGTTCTTTGGGAGGAGAATAATGATTTTTTATGCGAATGGGGTTTCATAGATGAGGATGGAGAGTTTTGTGAGTTATAATGACTATAAAAAGGTGGCCAGGTATCAGAGAAAAGTCTCTCAAATCTATGTGATGAGAAGGATAGAAATGAAAGATTAGTGCAGTTACAGTTGTTTGGGAGTAAAGAAGCAAGAAAATGAAAGGGAGCATGAAGGGGGAAAACAGTGAAAAGGAAAAACAGGCAGAGACAAACTGCTGAATCTCTCTTTTCCCAAAGAGAGAGAACGATTTCCTTGGAAAAAAGGTAGGCTAGCCAAACTGTCCCATGGAGCAATTGGAGGGTGAGGACCGGCCAATCTTCTTTGCCCACTGTAAGCATCTTGGCCATGGAGAGGACAGAGGAGGGGGATCATGGTACGGCACATGGAAAAGATTAAAGCAACGGGCAGGGACCAAATTTAAAAACCAGTGGAAAGTCCTGGCTCTCACCCTTCTTTGGTGTTGACATTGGACCAAAGTTTTCAACATCATCATTGTCAAATAATTGTCACTGTACGAAGTGGTACTTGCCTCCCAGAGAATGACATTAAAGACGTGAATGATGAAAGTGACTCAGTCTAACAAGTGAGTATAAGCAGATCGAGGTGAAAGAATTTGCAAGTTATCAGAATGAGGGAGAGAGGCAGGAAACAAGCTGGTGGAATGTTCTATAGGAAGCCGTATTGAAAACATGGCAAGGCAAGGAGGAGAGGATAGCAGGGCCCAGCGCAGGATGGGCAAGGGCAGGGCTAAGGAGCAGGGTCAGCTAGTAACCTTTCCAGAGAAAAATAAAACTTCCAGGACCAATCTAAAAGGTAATTCGTTGCTTGGTCCTTCTCATGCAAACACCTAGGAAAGGAAGGGGAGAAGGTCTGGCAAGGAGGCTGATGCTGAATGGAGGATGCAGTAGAAAAGTAATTACATCTGATGTGGGCCAAGACCAGGTGCAGGCCTGGCACAGCTCATACTGACATGCACACCTGTCAGGAGTTGGCATATAATCCTACTCCAATCCAGGATCTGGGTGGAGTTTCTCCTGGGGAGAATTCATAAATACTTACCTTGCCAATAAAAAGCCAGAAAGGCACAACACATCTCATAACCACAGAGCCACATATACATCTCGGTTAGCCCATCTCATGGTTCCCCCATTTCACCTGGACTTTGTACTTTATTTGCTAGAGTTAGAAAAATAGGACTGAAGTCACTTTTTTTTCTTGAGTAATCTACCGAATTTTTAAGGGTTTACTAGAGATCAGCCCCCTCCACTGTTCCCTACTGATTGCTCCAAGGAGATCTGAGCATCTGTACAAAATAAATATGCAACAAGCATGACCAACCGGCCCCAAGCTCTACTAGGTCCCAGTTCAGCAAGACAGTTACCTGTACCTTTGGCCAGCTACCTAGTACAGAGAGATTTTTGCCACTAATCACTCTAGCAATGTTGGTCACCATAAACCATAGTCTGAATGAAGAGCTTGAGGGTTAAACAAGCATTTTCTTAGACTCTTTTAGGGCCAGTCATACCAATTTTATCATTTTTATATATCTGTATATTTGAAGTTTTCACCTTCAAGTAGGCATAGACAGAAACAAAAAACTGGTGAGACTGCAGAGGTGCAGATGCTTCTCCCCCTTAGTCCGCTAGGGGTGCTAGACGATCTGCAAATCTGGTATTGGGCTTTGACTTGAGCACATGGTGTTTAGGGGCTTTAGAGTTTATAGGCATTTCTTCTTCATTTGGCTTTATAATGGATAATAGAGAATAATGGACAACTGGCTGAATGAGTGAATGTTTTAACTAAAAAAAAAAAAAAATCAGTCTCAACACAGCTTACCTATTGGTTTGGGGACTAAACAGTCATGATCTGGCTCCACTTGGTAATTTAAACAACAGATTTTAGAGTTGCTGGCAAATGGCTTATGGCTGGGGAGAACAAACAGTTTCATATCTTACAATCTCTATTGAGAAAAGAAAAGAACTCATGACCTAGTTTAGGAAATCATAGACTGATAGTATAAAAAGACAGAGAAAAAATGTAAGCTCTATCTCAACCTATAGAATTGAGAGCAACTAGAACCACTAAAGGGGCTTTCATAATTCCCAATTTAGGATTGGAACAGAAATAAGAAAGGGCCTCAACTTCTCTATTTGACCACTTTCTGGGTATTCATGTGTGGGCCTGCTTGGATGTGAGACAAAGACCCATGACTGTGGGTGGAGGATGTCTTTTGGCTCCGAGGTACTCCTTGGAAGGTTCCAGCTTTGGCCTTAATAACATGCTCTAGATCAGCATTTAGGCCATTTCTTAATAAGCAACACTGACAGCTGCCTAACAGCAGAGCTCATATGGTATAACTCAGAAGGTGTCAAAAATGGAGGAGCCTCCATGCAACAAGGAGCTGCAGATATGTATTCATTCATCAAGAAATGGTTAGCTCAACTGGGTGTGGTGGCATGTGTCTGTAGTCTCAGCTAATTGGGGGGATGAGATGCAAGGATCGTTTGAGCCCAGGAGTTCAAGTCCAGGGCAATATAGTGAGACTCCATCTCTTAAAAATAGAAGGGAACTGGTCATCTCTAATAACTCATTGCTCTAAGTGGGAGAGAATACTTCTGTGTGGTAGTAAGGCGCATATGAAAAAATCAGAAGATGGAGAAGTTTAGGTGTTAGGGCTTACTGTTCTACCATCTCAGGAGAATCAATTATTCATGATTTCTATTTCTTGCTGCTTTGAATCAACTTGGAAGATTTAAAGTGTTTGAGATATAAGCAGGTATTGCTTAAAATTCGACGTGAATGTTACAGTTACAGCCTTGGATGGTGGTAAGAAATGCAGGAGCAAGGCTCGGCATTTCCCCTTCATTCTGGAATTACAGAGTAACAGGATGGATTACGAGCACCAGATCTGGTGTAAATTAAAACTGCAACAGATCTTAAAATTTTTTTTTCCCAGTAAATAACCAACCTCTTCAGGCCACTGGAACAATAAATGTCTCTCCCAAATGGCATATTAGGGATGCCTACTCATAGAAACACATTTGGGGATATGCCTAATACTATCCCAGGGCTTCAGCTTCCCAGCCAAAGAAACCCGTCTCACCAAAAGAGACATCATGTATCTGGTAAAATAAGATCCTTGAAGAAAGAAAAAAGCTGAGCAGGTGCTAAGTAACTGTGGGCACGTGGCATCATACATTGCAGGAATCAGATGTTCCAAAGTCATCTCCACGTGGCTACCCTGACCAGCAATATGTTCCCTGTAGCTCTCTATCCACCTTCCCCCTTTCACCATCTTCCCCTCCCCCCACCCCACTGTCTTCCATGGCAGCAAACTGACTCCTTAGGGTAGATTTCCAGTTCTTAGCACTCAAAACTGCCCAGGATGACAGTTGTCTATTAAAGTGGCTAATGGAGGTGATGGTCACAGCAGGTCATGGTGAGGAGAGAAAGGAAAGTAGTGAGCTGTGAAGTGTATCTGGTGGCATGAGCTTATTCTAGTGGGAGAGTGCCAAGCATCCTTGAATATTTCAGAGGAAATGGACTGGGCCAGGAAATCAATATGTGAATACATTTTCATTCTGCTGCAGAATGATTCAATATATGTTCTTCCCAGCAAAGGGATGGGTTGGGAGAGGCACCAGGGAGGAAAGCCTATGCCCATGCTCAGGCTTTCCTAGGCACCTAAAGGGAGGCTACCAGAGCTGGAAAACGTGTTCTAGCCTTCTCATTTACCTTCTAGAGGTGAAGATATTGCTTGAAAAGCCTTAAAAGTTCAATTCAAGTTTGTTTCCGGCCTGCCAAGATCTCTCCTTAAACCAAATGGTAGCATTTTTTCCTAGGAGTCCCTTAAGGTGGCCTCAATGGATATTGTGTGAGCTGAGAAAGCCTAGGAAATGGTTGAGGAGAGATGCTCAGTTTTTTACACATCATTTCTTACAGGTATGGAGTTTGTAGTGAAATCTGGAGTGGGGAGGCCTATGCTCAAATATGAAGTCTTGGCAGGCATTCAGAGAACAGACATACAAAGAGAAAGAAAATCTCTTCATACCTTCATTTCTTCCTCCATTTCTGACATTTTGCGCTCCAAGGCTCGCCTCTCCTGTATAGGAACAATGAGACTGTTGAACATTTATTAAATTCAGAAGGGAGTAAAAATGCTGCCTCTCAGCTGCTGTGTGATCAGCAGATTCATGGTCAAAGGGTTCATCTGCCAATGAACCTTACTCAGGAGATTTGAGCACTATCTGATCCTGCCACTTGTGGGATGGAGCTACCTCACTGATAAAAATCACATTATCAAAATCTCCTATCATAAAATTAGTAGATAATGGAGATGCAACTTGCTAATATGCAAATGGACCAGGACACTCAGTTATTTGTGCAGGTTGAAGATTTCATAGAATTTCAAATGTCTGCAAGTGACTAGGGCCCCTGCTCTCTATTATCAAAAAAGCATCATTATCTTCAGTAACGCTCTCCCTAAATTCCTAGGAAACTGCTTCTCTCATGATGGGGAACAGATGGTGAGCTGGGAAGTAGACATTATTGTCTACGAAACAGCATGTCTCCCCTTGGTTTTTTCCCTCCCCCTGTAGTACTCCTCTCCTGCTCCATTTTTCTTTCCCAGCGTCTGACTCTTGGTTTAGCCTGAACCCAATGAGGAGTTTTTGATCAGATGGGATACCAAGGAGGTTTGGTTACAGGCCAAAGGAATAAAATGTAAAACTTAGCTGCTTTCCAAATTAAACAGACAACAACAGGACAGATGGGAACGTATTATATCCCTAGGGTCAAATCAAAGCTAGGGTCCATCAATAAATCTAATTGAATTTTCCCAATCCAAGAATGTAAAATCCCAGAATAATATTCTGAGTACAGTTGGAAGTAAGTCAGCAATTGAACCAGAAATCCTCCCCTCCGTCAAAATGAGTGAAAGCCTGTGTTGACTCATGTTTCAAGTTGTAAGAGCTAAGTCAATGGCAGAGGGTCCCACTGAAAGTTTCCATTTTGTTGAAGGCGATAAAAAGGGTAAAGAGACCTTGCTCTGTGTGTGTGTGTGTGTGCCTGCAATACAGTAAACCAAACAGACCTTGCTGGGTGTGTGTGTGTGTGTGTCTGCAATACAGTAACCAAAGAGATCTTGCTGGGGGTGTGTGTGTGTGTGTGTGTGTGTGTGTGTGTGTGTGTGTGTGTCTGCCTGCAATACAGTAAACCAAAGAGACCTTGCTGGGTGTGTGTGTGTGTGTCTGCAATACAGTAAACCAAAGAGACCTTGCTGCGTGTGTGTGTGTGTCTGCAATACAGTAAACCAAAGAGACCTTGCTGGGTGTGTGTGTGTGTGTGTGT